ATCAACGGGATGGAAGACTCACCATATAGATTCAAAATCTAATGTAAGGAGTAAGTTTAAATTGCATTATATTGAACAAGTTCACTCCTTTTTGAGTTTGTTGATTCATTACTTTGTTAAAGATTAACTTCACGAATTTAACTTCCGGCTGACGGCTGACGATCTAACCTTCTTTATTCGTTAGCTGGAAGTTGAATTCCCGAATGTCCCGTGGGTTTGTTTTGTGGAATACTAGTCAGTTGTATTTGGTAGCATTCGCGGATTCAACTGCCGACTGACGCCTTTGCATACTGTTTTATGGCAAATTAATCTTAGCATGAATGGAATAATGGCAGGCCCTATTCATGATTAAATGAATGAGTTGGTCATGAGTAGTATATCAATCCGTCAGCCGTCAGATGAATTCTCAGAATTAACCTTTAACCTTGATTTTCTAATATTGCTGTTTATACTTTTATTTGTAGGTGAGCAATATAGATTGCTTATCAAGAACAAGTCAAAACAGGAAGCAGCTAACAAAAGAGGCCACAAAAATAGGGAATAGGAGAAAGCTTTAGAAGCAGTTTACAAGAATGAGGGACAAGACAAACAAATAGTTGAGATTCCTTACATTACAAAGTTTGGTTGATCATCCAGAGACCGGATTATCTATTTAAGACATTGTTCAACTCAAGGGAAATGTATAAAAGTATTCAGTTGAGACACTACTCTAGTCTACAACTCAGAGATATGTATCGCAACAATATGTTTGTTTCAAAATTTAATAATTTTTTATCTTCAATAAATTATATGATTCATTTGATAACTGTCTGTGTGTTGTTAAACATTAAAAATTCTAAAGGCCAAACATTGCTACAAATCTACCCTAAGCTAGCATCAAATTAAATCATCCCTTCCCCATTGACACCCCCCCCCCCCCCGGGAACAACCGGATGCCTCTCAATGATACAATAAATCCTAGATATGGATTTATGATGAATGTATTTAAATCCCTAGTAAATGCTTAAATTCATCTGCATTAAATGTGTCTCAATTTGATAAATACCTTGATGTATTTACCAATGCTAGTTAATAACATAACTGGTTCAAAGTTGAAACATGTGTTAGATCGGTATTAATGCTTCACAAATGCATTCTATGTATTTATAACCCACATTAATAAATTATAAATACGTAACTAATGTTTTCTGGATGTGATGTAAATGCAATATCGGATTTGTACTAGGATTTACTAATGGTATATGAGATAAATACGTGGGAAGGATTTATATGCACTTATCTAAATCAGAGATGTACATTTATGGAGATTTTTGGTGGTTTACGATAAATGCATAATGGATCCTACGTTAATCCTGTGTATATTTAACATCATTTGACCCAGTGACAGATCAAAACAAAACTATAAATTCTACACATTGATAAAATAAAAAATGTTCATTTTATCCGCTTGAACTCCAATTTACATTAAAAAAGTAATGTTACTCTTTCACTTTACATAATTGTGTCTAAAGATTAAAATGTCAATGAGTTGCAGAGAACAGATTAGTAAGAAAATCGATTTATCAGTTAATTCTTAAAGTGTCCGTCTGCTCATGCTTATTTCACTCAATTTCTCTCTAAAATTTGAATGAAGTGTCTGATTTTCTTGCATTTCTTTACAATTTAGAGTGTTAACTACAAGTCTGTTTACTTTATTCCTTGTTGATTTCACTCTTTTACATTTTATTTTTGCTTTTTAAAACATGATCACCTGTAACATTTTTCAACAGCTAAGATTTAATTTAAGTCACATAAGGGAGCCCCCAACATAATTTTGTATGTAATACACTATGTTGACATTTACCTAATTCAATTATCTGGCAGCGTCATTAGAAAAGCTGACACTGATCTATGGAGACTATTATGTCATAATTCATCTCTCGACATCATTTGTCTTTTGATATAACACATAATTTGACATCAGTAATCAGTATTATGTGTTTTTCTTATAAAAATACTTCTTTTGACTATTTCTTGAAAGCCATATGAAAAATTGTAAAAAGAATGCATAATACTGTAAAATAACCTAATAAGGAAACCTACATTTTGTTAATATAAACTAATAAGGAAACCATCATTTTGTAAGGCTTAGGGTACGTCTGATCTACAATCATATATCTTTTGAATGATACAGATGAGTTAACTTACTTAAGCCTTAGGAAATTTGCATTATTAAATTAAGAATTTGGTTATAATGTTTTTGAAGATGTCCTGCCGCCAGATTTTTCCAAATTTAACAGAAATGATACATCTGGCCCGATTCTAGCTCAAAACAAAGCTGTAAAGCAGATATAATTGTATTTACTGTAACACACCAGTTCCATGTTAAACTGACTGAACTTAATTACTGATGGTCAGATTCATGAATTTTACATGTTGTAAACTAATTATTTTAGCATGGATATCAATCTACAAAAATTTGCAATAGTGAATTCATGATGATGCAAAATACTTCAAAATTCCGCAATAGTGAATTCATGATTGTGCAAAATACTTCCAAATTCTACAATTCATGATGATGCGAAATACTTCCAAATTTTGCAAGAGTGAATTCATGATAATTAATGCAAATTACTTCAAAATTCTGCAATAGTGAATTCATGATGATGCAAAATACTTCAAAATTCACAATGCAACGTGAATTCACGTTTGAAATAGAGAGTATTTTTGAACAAACATGATATATTATAATTCTTGGCCTTAAGAAAACCAAACGGGTAATTAATCAACTCTATGCTATTTATAAATATCTAATACTTTGTGTACTTATATGTATAATGTAACAAATGCATTTTTACGACTGCATCACACCAAAACTCAGCTTATTCACATGAGGAAATATTGTTGGCTGTGCAGATGACTGTCTAAATTCCAATCAATATAACGATCGAAGTATACCTTTGATAATTTGATAAATTATTATTTTTCTTATAACTATTAGATTGACTCCAAATCTCCGATTTTTGAAGCTGTGTAAAATAGTCTTATAATACCGCAAACATAATTGCCAGTTTACAGTGTGAAACAAAGATATGTTTTCTTCATTTAATTTCAAAATGTAAAACTTTTTAAAGTGATGTTATAGATATGCCATTTCCTAGGGTTGTGCATAATACTGCCTAAATATTGCAAATATATATAGTGGGAAACCTATTCTTTATTTAACAGAAATGTTACTTATAATGTAGCCCCATATCCCGGGCTTTGCATAATACTGTCTAGATATAATGCCAACTGATTTAATTTTGTCATTGCATGCATTTCAAGCCTAATTAGCTCCACAAAAAGGTATAATACACTGATTGTCTAACATAATCCATTTCCTGTGGCCATGCATGATACTGAAATAATGTAACTATCAAGTATTTAAATCATTCTATTTACAGAACATGTGTGATGTATCACCTAAAGGTTTTACACAATTGAAAGTATACCCTGGGCATATTTATTAGTTGGATAGTGAACTACACTCTTTATAGCATCTGTCATTTTATAGTTCAGTAATTAACCAATCAGAAAACAATGCAGAGTCATGTGTTAATGTATAACCCAATTGAAAACTGAAGTGAATGAGCAATCATGACTTTGATTGGCTAGGCACATTCAGAAATTTATCGCTTGTTTGAAGAGTGAAGCAGTCTATTGATTATTTTTCTAAAGGGTAATGAAGATGGTGATAGATATAAATGATACATATGGTTGATTAGGTAGTTGATATACACATATTGCGTATAAATATCATTAGTTATTCAGAAATAAACCCAAAAGTCTGATCTAACGAGGATACCTCCTGACTATTCAAATTAACTAATACATTTCACTAATCAAAGGGTGTCATTTATTCAGATGTATTATGTCAAAAGTAAAAATGTGTGCATTTGATTTTGTTGTCTGTTTGGCGTCTAGCTGCTTGATATAAGAGTGTATATAATATAAAAAATAGGTGTGAAAGGAAGGAAAGGAAGAACGTTTGAAGGTTGCTTTAAAATGTAAAATGCAAGAAGTTAAACTGAAATAAAATAAATACTACAAAAAAAAGGAAAAAACTGAATTGAACTTTATACATTTTCCGACACAGAGAGGGGAGGGGGAGTAATAAATTGTTGTTGGTGTAAGTCCTGACTTACAGCACCATATAATCTTAAATACACCAAATGTAACCCCCTCATAGAAAATATGAAGGTACCCTTTTAACTAATTATAACTTAGTTAAAATGTAATATTAAGGTATGGATCAGTGTAAATGTTAATTGGCATAATTTTGATGAAATGTTATTTACACTTTATAATTATTTTCTTACTAAATAATTAACAGTATGATATAATACAACATCGGTTGTTCCCACTTAACATTGCATGCAGTTGTTTTGAAACAATTATTTTTGCAAAGAATCCCCCCCCCCCAAAAAAGCGCACATTTGGTACTAATATAAACAGGTCATTCACATTTAAAGGTCAAAAGAGCGACATTAAGAACATGTAATAAAATGATGATTAAAAAAACAATGCATTAATAGACCAAATGTCACTGCACTGTCACTCACTGCAATTATAAAAGTGTAATTGTGTAACAAGTGTTACAGACACTGACAGTGCAATTGTGTAACAAGTGTTACAGATACTGACAGTGTAATTGTGTAACAAGTGTTACAGACACTGACAGCGTAATTGTGTAACAAGTGTTACAGACATTGACAGTGTAAAATTGTGTAACAAGTGTTACAGACATTGACAGTGTAATTGTGTAACAAGTGTTACAGACACTGACAGTGTAATTGTGTAACAAGTGTTACAGACACTGACTATCAATGCTGATCACAAAAATGGTAGCAATAACAATATGTCATCAATTTTTGAAGCTGACATAAACAATAATCATATCTCTCAGATTCAAAATTTGCTTGCATCTGAAAAAAATAAAAATAAATATAGATATAATATAATAAGGAATATGAACTTACCATAAAACTCGTTGATTATCCCGAGTGGCATGACAACGGCTGATACCAAGACATCAGCAATAGCTAGTGACAACATGAAATAATTCGTAACATTTTGGAGCTTTTTCTCCATTAAAATCGCCAAACAGACAAGTATATTTCCTAGTAATCCCCCGACTACAAACAGCATCAAGACAAGAATGCTCCAGTTCAAAGGGGGATCTCCCGTCAAGTTTGACGTTCCATTCCCGAGGGTTAAATTCACAGCGCCCTCTATTGGATCCATAGACTTGTTCGAGGTTTCACAAAGTAATCCTTGACACGGACCTGTTATTGTAAACGTCGCGATGTTATTGTTGTATCTCATATTTTGAGCCAACTCATATTTTGTTGTAGTTGTTGCATCTTTCAAAATTTCTGTCACAAAATCGCTCAAATTATTCCCGGAACTCCATCTATAGCTTAATCCAACTTTTGCATTATTTTCAACTAATCTTGTTGTAGTAGAATCACTTGTTGTAAAACTGCTATTTGTTGTTGTAAAATCACTATTTGTTGTAAGAAAATCCCTATATGTTGTATTAAAATCACTATCTGTAATTGTAGAATTACTATGTGTTGTAATTAAATCACTAATTGGATTTGAACTTGAATTTACATGATTTGTAATCAACCTCTCGGTTGTTGTTTCATTTATATTCCACCTGGCATTTGAAGTCAAATTACTCCTTGCAAACTTATCAAAACTTTCTAATTGCTCATTTTCAGTATGATTCCCCGTTGCATTACCACGTAACCATCTTTTCCAATTAGTTTTCACATTAAATTTTTCCCGTCCAGTACCAGCACCAGCAAGGTAGGCTTTATTTTCATAAACCTTGCTTGTATTTTTCTTTAGCGTATTGTATACAGTATTCCAAGTGAGGCTTTCATTAACGTTGTATCCAATGTGTGTAGGCTCCAATAGCTCAGATTCAACTGAGCTAAACATTGGCTGGAGAGAGTTTATTAAACCACTAGCTGACTGACTCATCCTCCAGCAGAGCTCATCATACCCTTGCAAATTTCTCACATTTCATTGACAGGTGATGTTTTAAAATGAAAAATATGACACCAAAGAGTGGGAATTTTTCAAAATTGTAAAGATAGTTATGTAGAAGAAGGACCAAATTATATAGAAATGTAAGAATATTAATCAACTCTTTGGATTTTTTCTGAGAAAATTCAGTGTTTTTGTTGGTGATTGAATGCCGTCTGCTGAGGTTCTGAGATGTGTGGGCCACTATCTTTTGTATATTGTGGTAGCCTATGAGGTGGACACGAATCTGGAAGTACAGTACATAAATCTGTTTTATATATTTCACCATTTACATTCATTAATCACATCTTTAAGTGTTTTCAAAACATGCATTAAATCATTGAAGTGTGTTACGCTTTAATTTCTTCTTGATTATCTGACTTTTAAAGCACATCATTTATTTATAAAACACACTTTTACATTTTATCTTCCACATATTAACTTCACCTTTCTATTTCAGCTAAAAGATGACAGTTGGAACATTTATCATTTACAATGTCAAAACGCCTTAATGTCAGTTTCCTTAATAAAAACTGATTCAGAAGTTACAATTAGATACAGGCTATCACACAGTAGTTCACCAACATTAAGATACAGGTCTTTTCTCTATCTATCCCAATGCTGAAATATCTAATAATATATTTATCTGATGTTACTCTACTCCCTATCAGGGGGATATCCCCTTCTCACCTTCAGCCAATTCTCCCAATGTTACCCTACCTCCCACCCTTACTCTGTCAATTTATTTCCCTCTCTCCATTTCCCATCCATTTCTCTTCCTTTACCCGCTTCCCCCACTCCCCATCCTCCTAGGCAGGTATCCAGAATCCATACTTCCTTCTTCCCCTTGCTATAACCAATTTGGAAGCGCCCGATTAAACTGAATCACGTGATCTAATTATGCGCAATGACTTATACATGATTTCTGTCGCAGTGTTGCGACAGCCAATCAGATTGCGAGTTCTTAATCGAGTAAAAGCTAACTGCTTATTGCAGGGGGTAAAAAGAAAGAATATATTCTGGATTTTGAAGCCCTGTGATCGGAGGATGCCACCCCCATCTCCTCTCCACATCTCCTCAATTTTTTTCCATTTTCCATCGTACACTTGTTCATCAGCTCCCTCCCTTTCTCCCTTTCAATTTCTATCCAAAATGTTTCCCTTTCAATTTCTATCCAAAATGTTTCCCTTTCAATTTCTATCCAAAATGTTATCTCAAGATCACTCAATCAGTTGTTTACCCTCCAGGCTCAGCAATCATCAAGCCATCACCCAGCACTAATAAAACACTAAAGCACCAGAACATCCCACATACTAATTAAAACATTCAAAATAAATCACTTTGAAACTATAAAACATCAATGGAAAATCTTAATGAAAAAAGAATAGTTTCAATCATGAAATCCAACATTTTGATGTATAATCATTATAGGGAAAACACAAACAATTAATTTGCAAAACTAAAAACCCCATGAAATCATAAAATAACCCAGGGTTAGAGTAAGCCATGTTTGATCAAGTTAAATACAGGATGAAAAACTGAGATGATCCCTAGCACCATCACAGATCTAGTGTTGAATGAATTTATATAGAAATCTAGCATGGTGTGGAAAAACATAATACATTCTTTACCAAATGTTCCCCGCTGGCCATTCTTATTCCTCTCTTGATTTCTCTCAAAAACTTGAATGAAGTGTTTGATTTTCTTGCATTTTCATATAATTTAGAGTGTTGACTACATGCCTGTTTATTTTATTCCTTGCTAATTCCACTCATTTCCACTCAATTTTGAATGTAAACATGACCACCTTATCTAATTCAGAGTGTTCACAGTCACACTCGTGATAATTCCTTGATAATTCCAATCTTTTATTCTTCATTCACCGATTTCAATTTCTTGCAGATTCACCATTTAAAGATGTCCAGAAAACATAAAATCAAACTTGATGTTTCTGTAAATTTCACAAAAATCATGTATAAAGGTTCTAAGACTGCATTTCTATTAAAGCAGGTGGTGGGATCATATACAATATTTGTTTATGGCAATAGAGTTGATATTTATAGGTAGCTAACTGAATGTTCTAGTAGCTTCAGCTCTCATCAAGACTTCAACACGTATCTGTCTATGAGGCGTTCAATAAATAATGTCTAAAAATTAATTGAGATGCTAGTCTTTCATTAAGCCCTTAACATATATTCTAAACTTTTTGGGTAGGAAGTTATAAATTGGAGGGTGGGGGCAAGACTATGTGGATATAATAGGACTGTTTGATTTTGAGCCTATGTAAAAATCTTTCATAATCATGGAGTTTTTCACTATTCTGAGCACTTTTTAACTGATAGTTTGGCCATTTTTGGACCAAAATTGTCACAAGTGAACCCCCCCCTTGACAAATCCTGGCTACGGGCCTGCGCTGTTTCATTAAAAAATGGGTGGGAAAAATAAAATTTTATTGACTAATTCATGGACTCAAGACTTAATGTCCCCAGGTGTGAGGGGGTGGGATGATTTGATTTTGAGCCTACATTCACTAATCACCTTATGTTAAGAAAAATCAGTAGAAGATCATTGAACACTTTGTTAGAAGTAAAATAGGAAATCAATATTATTACACAGTACATATATACATGACATTTCAAGCCTTGCTATTCAATACCCAATAATCTCTGTTACAACTTCAACTTAATTAGTTAAGAATTATTGATAAAAATCTTCATATTGATAAAATGTCAAGTTATACAAGTTAAGTTAAGAGTGAAGCACTTTGTTTTAGAAATATTTAAAATGTCCGTCTGCTCATGCTTATTTCACTAAAATTCTCTCTAAAATTTGAATGAACTGTCCAATTTTCTTGCATTTCTACACAATTTAGGGTATTGACTACATGCCTGTTTACTTTATTCCTTGCTATTTTCACTCCTTTCCACACTGTTTTCAATTAAAAACATGACCATGATGGCATTTTTCTCATAAATTACGTGTGAAGTTCCCTTTTGGGGCCATTACATCAGATATACATAATTAAATCAATTCAAGGATGTAGTTAAGGTTAACATACTTTCACAAGGTAAAACCTGAGTTTGGGAATATCACTATGTCTGATTACCCTGATCCAAATGAACTAGCAATAATAACCTCTGACCATAACAGATAACTTATTGGTTTGAAAACATATTGATGACACTCAAGAAGGTAAAACCTGTGTACAGTGAACACCACAAAAATATACTCAGGTGTTGACTACAGAGAGGCAATTTTACTCAGAAGTCAATTGAGATTATCCTTAAAAGGGGTGTGCACTAGAAACAGGTGTTCACTAGATAGAGGTGTTCACTAGGTTCACTAAGACAGGTTTAACTGTAATATAAAATCAGGTATCACTTGATAATGTACCAGGCCCGTAGCCAGGGGAGCTGGGGGAAATTCTTTCAAAATCGTTTTTTCACCATTCTGAGAATTTTTCGTATGATTTTTAGCCAAAATTGTGAAAAGCTCCCCTCCCTGGAAAAAAGCTCCCCCTCCTGGTAAAAGCTGGCTTGGGCAAGTGTACAATACTTTTTGATGACCAAAACAACTCAAGATTAGATCTTTAATCATGATGTTGGTGTACAATCTATTGATTTTATGAATGAAAAATAAGTAACAGATTTTATTGTTCAATAATATGTAATATAATTGAGTACAGGGAAATTTCTTTTTAAAGTGGCTTATTAGAGAAATCATAATTTTACTGAGTGGCCCTTAAACACATTTAAGAAATAATTTCAAGTTGATAACAGGAATTTAATAGAAAATGAAACAAATTAACTCTAAGCTTGTATATAATAGCCAAACCTATATAAATGGAACACCCTTGGTACATCTACAAGTGGTCTACTTGAGAAATGTTCAGAGGCTTTTAAAGATTCATATAACATTAAGACAATGGGACATGAGACTCTGAACAGTGTTCTATTTATAGAGGTGTTTCATTCACAGAGGTGTTCCACTTGACAGTATTTACTATATAGTCCAAAGTCAATATCTGCAAAAATTTTGCAACATGCAAATGGAAGAACAATACCCACATACTTTTGATTTATCAAGTAACTTATCGACTAATCTAAATCTAATTAAAAAACACTTTAAGAACAATAACATAGAGTTCATAAACACATTTTCTTCACAGAATCAAATATTGAACTTATTGTGCAAGAAGACTGGTTGGTTTAATCTATAATTTTCTGAAAATATTTTCAAAAGTTTATTTTCACAAGTAGACATGCATGTTTAATTAAATATGGGAGCCATTGCAATAACATTTCAAATAATTAGAAATCTAACATCCGATTTTCAAGGAAAATGAAAGGATAGAGTGTACGTTGGAAGCAATCTTTATTTCCTCCAAAATAGAGATATCTGATGAAATATAAAAGTTATTGAAGAATTTAAGATCCTGTAACGTCCAATTTCATCTTTGCCAGACAATCTTAAACTGAAAGGATTATCCTGAAATAGTCTGAATTGATAGCAAAAAAATATTATATAATTGCGACAGTTCTTTCAAAACCTTTTCGAATCAACTCTATCTCTTCCAGTTTCTTAAATTCTTCAAATGTCTTACCTTAATACACCAGTAAAATGAACATAAATTCTCAAATTATTAAATTTACAAAGTCAGTTAAATACACAAAATATCATGATCTAATATTTGTAAAATGTTCAGGAGTTGGTCCATATAAGGCATTAATATTCTCCTTAAGTGTTCTAGCTTTGACCCTCTGACTACGCTTCTAATACATTTTAAATGAACGTCTGCTCATGCCTTTTTACTGAATTGCTCTTTAAAATTTGAATGAATGTCCTAATTTTCTTGCATTTCTATACAATTTAGAGTGTTGACTACATGCCTGTTTGGTTTATTCCTTGCTAATTCCACTCTTTTCCACTCTATTTTGTATTTTAAAACATGACTACCACGACATTTTCTCTCAGGGATGAATTTATTTCATTAAATTGATCATTCAAACAATTGTACACTTTCTGGGTTTAAATCAATAAATTGAATAATTTTCAAATAAATTACTTGCACAACAATAATATTTATCATTAAACAATTCAATTGAATTACGGGACAAATAAAAATTTGGCAGAGACATATCTTGAAGCTAAACCATTCAAGATGCTAAAAAACAAATTTTCAGTTTCCTCTGAAAGTCCACATATAAAGTCATAATAACTTCAAATAGGGTTCTCTCCCTTCAAATAGTGTTTTAATCT